CTGCACAATGGCATTGGCATGTCCCAGAGGCATTTGTCTCCTGTGTGGTCAAGTGGAAACCACAGAAGCTATCTGGATTGAGCTCATCTTGCCCTATTTAGCAAGGAGATCCAGGAGGAAAATGCATGCAGTTGTGCAGGATGGGAACAGACAAAGAGTGGAAGAGTTGACCTACCATATCGGGGAAATGTGCAGTTGGCAGGCTTGGTAAGGCTCAGCTTGGATGCATACCCCAGAGAGGGCAGTGCTGTCAGCTTGCGTTAGCCAGAGCAGCAAAGAATCCAACAAGGAGAGGACTGAGACCATGGCCAAATCGTTAAGGAGAAAGATCCTTCCTTCTCCCCTCCCCTGAAGGGGCAAAGCAGGCCCTCCCTTCACCTTCCAAATTTCTTTAGCTGACACCCAAGGGACAGGCGATGACATTGGAGCTGGATTTGAGATTGAAAATTTAAACCAGAGAATACCTGTAATAATTGAAAGTGACTAGAAATGTATGGCATCTGATGTTAATGGAGAAAAGAATGGGGATACAAAGCACTTCCTGGAAAGCAGTATGTGGAGGGAAAAAATTATTTCATATTAAAATAACTATTATGCATGCATAATAACACACTGGCTTGGTACTGTTTTTTACACTGGTCTTTTTTAGTGAACTGTTTTATATAAAATTTAGCAATGTATAATGAACACTGACTGACATGCCCATGAATATTCATCTAAAATATCATGTTTAATAGTGGAATAGTATTCAATTGCATGTAGGTAGAACAATTTAGAGTTGGACATTTGGAGTGTTTTCATTCTTTCTTCATTAATTTACACAGTGATAAGACAAATATCATTATACATTACTTTTTGCACACTCTCTTAAGTAATTCCTTAGGAAATAATGTAGAAATAGGATTGTTGAGTCATAGGATATATTAAATACATACATCAATCTATTAACAAAAGCAATAATATTATACTAACTTGTGGCCACCAGCCCTAAGAGTACCTTCATTTATCTTTTGACTTCTTCTGTGAATTGTCCCTTGACCCTATTCCATTGTGTTTGCATTAAGCAGTCTTGGCTACCTGTGAAGACTTGCACATGGCTCTGCACTTAACTAGCTATTCCATGTTTAGTTATGGGATACTCGCAAATTCACTGTTGCCCTACACCTTTCAAAAGCTTGACCAGATAAACAGCAATTCATGGAGGGCTGATCCTTTCTTCTAGGATACTTTGAATTTCATCCTTGGATTAAGCCAGCTGATTCCAGAGCCGAGTTCCTGGATAGGCATTATATCACCTGTAGACTCTTTTAGCAAAGTGAAATCTCATGAGATGTCACCGTCCCATATTAAGAGAAATTTTAAGTCACCACTCTGTGAAATATGTCACATGTGTATAGATAGGATATTGTCATTACTTTACATGTTTTCTTTTCTGTAAGGAATTCTGGGGAAATTATGTTTAGTCTCACTATAAGAAATGGTTATTTTTTCCTGAACTAATTTTATTTAACCTTATGGACATTATAACACTTTAAAGACTTTTTAGGAACATCAGATTTTGGCCCATATCCAGCAAGAGGAAAAAATTTCACAATTTACATGCATGTAACTATTTCATTCTAGCTCTGGGCTACTTTGCTTAGTCTCTCATATATATATTTTTAAATCTTGGAATACAAACACTTCTTTATTGTCCTCCTCAAGTCTTCTTTTAAGTAAGTTTGGAATAAGCAAATAATAATATAAAGTGGTAAGAAGATAAATCCCTTAAAAATAAGAAAAACATGGCCACGGTAGCAGGCATCCTTTCTCTAAGTGCAGAGGCAGCAGGGGCCAGGATACCTGGCAGGAAGGGAGGTAGTAGTTGGAGAAAAAGGCATTTAGATGCTATATCATTTCAGTTCGGGGCCTTTTAACTACAAAGATGAGTAGCTTTGCTTTGCAGTTCTTTAGTTAAAGAAATCATAGGTTTTGTGATAAAGAAGTGGGGCGTTAGAAATTCTATGAGCCTTCTGGCTAGAAAAAACATGTGAGGCCCCCATGCTAAGGGGCAGAGGGCTGGGAGCTTGAGACCAGCTAGCTCTCACCTCCATATTCCAGAGTGATTAAGAACCTCTCGGGTTTTTTCCTGTACTGTTCAGTAGGGATTGGAGAAGGGGAAGGGCAGGATGAGAGGCAGGAAGGCAGGACAGGATTCCAATGGGCGTGGCCGAGGGAAAGCGGGTCTGTGCATGGAGTCCTCCTCGCTCCCCGTGTATCAGGAAACATGGTGGCAAACAACAGCAGCAGACACAGAACACAGTCTCACGTCATTTTCTCTCCTGCAGTTGCTCGCTTCCCCCCAGTCCTTGCCTGAGACCATTTCTACAATTGATAAGAATGGTTTTGGTTTTGTTTTATTAATTTAAAAATATTTAATTGACAAATAAAAATTATATATATTCAGGGTGTACAATGTACGGATTTGATATATACATGCATTGTGTAATTAACTACAACAATCAAATTAGCTAACACATTCATCACCACCCCCAGTTACTGTGTGTGTGTTGAGAACACTTAAAATCTGCTCTCTTTTCAAATTTCAAGTAAAAAACACAGTATTATTAACTATATTCACCATGCTATACATTAGATCCTGAGAACTTATTCATCTTTTAATTGAAAACTTGTACCCTTTGTCCACCATCTCCCCATGTCCCCCGCACCTCAGCCCCTGACAACCACCTTTCTACTCTCTGTTTCTATATCAATTCTTTTTGACATGTGAGCAAGACCATGCAATACTTGTTTTTCTGTGCCTGGCTTACTTAGCACCATGTTCTCCAGGTTTATCCATGTTGTCACAAATAGCAAGCTTTCCTCCTTTTTAATGGCTGAATAATATTCCTCTCTGTGTGTGTGTGTGTGTGTGTGTGTGTGTCTCATATTTTCTTTATCCATTCATCTGTCAGTGGATACTTAGGTTGTTTCCATATCTTGGCTATTGTGAATAATGCTGCAATAAGCATGAATTGAGATACTGATTTCATTTCTTTTGGACATATATCCAGAAGTAATTTTTAAAGGAATCACCATGCTGTTTTCCATAATGGCTATACCAAATTACATTCCCATCAACAATGCACAAGGGTTCCATTTGCTGTTAAGAGCAATTTTAGACTTATAATCTGAATTCTAAAAGAAGACTTTCTCGTTTAACACATACAAAATAATTTTTAAAAAGGGAGAATAAAGGGGAAAAAAAGGCTTGACTTGAGTGGAGGGTGTGGTATGCATTCCTGGTTGCATATATACAACACTATGCTTCTCACTTTATGCAGGATAGGCTTTTATGAGGCAGCAACAAACCACCTCCAATCTCAGAAGCTGAAAAGACAAAGGTTTACCTCTCACTCATGCCACATGTCCACTGAGGATCACGTGGACTCTGCTGCTTGACATCCTCCCTCCAGGACCCCAGCTGACAGCACAGCCCCACCTGAGACATTGCCCAGCACATTGGCAAAGAGCATCAGTACCACAAGGAAGCTCAAACTAAAGAGCAGGCTGGAATTGGCCCTCATGTCTCATTGGCCAAAGCGAATCTCACGGCCACAGCTAATTCCCAGCAGGTAAAGAAGAGATTCCTTCCATCCAGAAGGCGAGAGAGCCAGAACATCTGTGAACACTCCGGGCACTATCGTATCCTTCCCTTCTAAGCCACATACGAAATTCTGTTCTACTAACTGTGACCTTCAAAGAACTCCTGCAAATGTCCCCAACACTGTTATGATTGGGCCACTCTAAGAAACCGCGTCTTGGCCCCAAAAGGAAACAGATCCAATATAAGAAACTGTACTCCAGGATGGCAAATCTTCTAGATCTTTCATGGGGAAGAGGAAGTGGGTAAGAATAGCCAAGAACATGTGAAAAAAGAAGAATTTTTTAAAAATTATCAATAATTTGTAATGAGAACAATCACAAATTCTTCCTGAGTTAGGTCTCCTTACCTGCAAGATTCCCATCTGCCCAGGAAAGGACACACAACAGGGGAATCCCAGATGGACACGAAGGGGAAGTAGAGGTGAACATGCCTCCGCCAGCCACAGTTTCTGGGAAAAGAAATGGAGAAAATGGCAGACAAAGCAGGGGCTGGGAAACCAGGAGGGAGGTGTGATGATTGTGGAGAAAACTGAGGGCAGGGAGCATTTATTCCAACTTTAATAAGACTCTGGGAGGCGACTCTCTTGAAGGCTGTCTCCACACCCACCCAAGTGAGGCTGATCGAAATAAACTGAAGTCAGACCAGACCTGGGAGTGCCCTGTGACGCCATGGGGAGCCACGCTGCCTTCTCAGGGTAAGCATGGGGCCCAGATTGGCGCAGGCCCTGAGGGGGTACTCAAGGCCAGCGGGACTGCTGCCGGGCCCTTGTGATGGGCGGTGCCCAGCACAGCAGAATCTTCTGGGCTGACTGCCGGGGCAGGAGGAGGACAGCTAGAGGATGATGTCACATTGGCTCTGAAGGCAGTCACACAAGCCAGGCTGGGGCTGAGTCAGCCGGGGGGCTGTTAGACCCTGATCACATGAGGGGTGGCCAAATCATGTTCCACCAGGGAACATGGTTTGAGCTGCAGGTGACAAAAAGAACAACAGATGTCATCTAGAGGATCCAACTACCCAGACCTGAGACACAGTAAGCTGTCCTCGTCCACCCAGATGCTATCTGGGGGAACTGAAAGAAAGGGTGTAACCTCCAGAGAATGGACTTTTGTGTAAAAGAAACTGAATTAGTTAGAGACGGTTCCATGTATGGGGTTAGACTGAGGTCACTGAATGGAGATAGGGTCACAAGGAAGATCAGCTCACCTGAAATAATTGTTCTCACCCTGGCTGCACATTGCACATAGGAATGCCTGGGAGCTTGCAGAGAACGCTGACCCCCATACGAGTATATCGGAACTGCTGGTGGTAGGCTTAGGTCTGGGTGTGTAGGTGCACATGTATGCAAGGACTTACATGTATGTAATTTCCTCAATTTTTATAATGTACAACTATGAACTATCTCATCAAAATAAAGAGTGCCACTAAAGAGCATGCCCTGGCCGACACTCAGGGCTTGTGGAACTGACTCCAGAACTGTTGCTCTTGGCACCCATTCTCTTATGGTAGGCGCCTAATCCCCGGCTTCCTGGCTCTGGCCTGTGCCTCCAGGCTCTGAATTTATGTCCCTTCTTTCTTGCTTTGACTCAGTCTCCATAAACTGGTGACTAGTTGTGCCACCTCTGTCTTGCTGGACCAAGCCCTGGCGCCTTCCTCAATAATGTGGCCCTTACCGGCAGCAATGCTAGACCAGGGGTCCCACCCTATGGTGAGTTGTATAATTATTTCATTATATATTACAATGTAATAATAATAGAAATAAAGTGCACAATAAATATAATGCTCTTGATTCATCCCGAAACCATCTCCTCCCAACCCCTCCTCACCCCTCAGGGTGCATGGAAAAATTGTCTTCCATGAAAATGGTCCCTGGTGCCAAAAAGTCTGGGGACTGCTAGCCTATACCAGTCAGCACTTTGGATGGAAAATAGACAAATGTAGCCAAAAGAACCTGATAGATCTTTCTAAGGACTGGCAGTCACCTGCCGTCAGGAGGAAAGCCACATGGAGCTTGGTCAAGGCATAAACCTACAAACATACACTCGACCAGTTCAGTAGACTGGTTGACTTGCTGTAGCAGGTGCTAAACTGTAGGCCCATGAATGTCAGATCTTCTGTGGAAGGGAAGTGAGAATTCTAGATTTTTATCTGAAATGTACTAGTATTTAAATATTAGTAACTAATTCATCTTTTAATTCACATTTGTGTGCTGAACAATTTAAACCTGTCTATGTATTAGTCTTGGTCAAAGTGTGACAGGCAGCGAGCTCTGGCCCCAGCCCCAGTAGAACCTTCTGGAACAGGGATTGCTGCAAGAAGGCTCCGTGGAGGCCTTTCCAGTCAGGTGGTTCACAGTGAGACATTTAATGGTTTGAGCAGGCTATGACCACACTAAAAGTTAGGTTTCCCCTGGGGCAGTTTTACAATTAAGATAATAAAAACCAACAATTAAAAACAATGATGGTTATAATTTGGTTTTTGCACAGCTGCTTTAAAGAAGCTCTCAAACCTTTACAGAATTCTTTAACCCTTACAACATCTCTATAGGAGAGGAATATGGCAATTGATACCTTTGTTTTATAGCTGGAGAAACAAATGTGGGGAAGAAAGAGCTACTGGCTTGACCCAAAATCCCACATTTTTCTCAGGTAGAGAAAAATCTGGACTTGAGGACAGTATTTTTTTCAGTATTTTGAATCCACTTAAAAACAGAAAAATGTCAACGTGGCCTCTTTGCTCACATTATCCCTTGCAACTCCCATGTCTCCTGCAGGCTGAGTTCTGGGCTTAGTTCAGGGTTGGCCGCCCTTCATGGAGCCTTGCTGGGCTGCTGTAGGCCTCGGTGGTCCCTCCCTCCTGCCCCTGCACCCTGGCATTCAGGATGAGAACAATGCATGTAGCAATTAGTCGTGCCCAGTCTCCAGAAAGATTTTATTGTTTTGTGTTTTTATTTAGCTTTTTTAGTGCTACTCAACTCCCAGTAACTCCTTCTAGACCAGGAAAGAATTCTATCCTACTGTTTTTGGATATCTCTTAGGGCCTTGCACAGAACAGGCCTCAGAACATACTTCTTCTATTGCTTTCTTTATCTTAGCATCCACTTTGGGTTCTCCAAAACAACAGAGTTAAGAAAACAGCTGGGTGTGAACCAGCTCATCACTAGTTGTATGACTCAGACGAGACTCCAACTTCTTGGAACCTGAGTTTCCTCATCTGTAGTTGGGGATAATAATACCTACCTCCTAAGGCTATGATGAGGATAATAGGATTTAATGCACAGGAACATAGAACAACACCCTAAATGTTGTGAGCATGATCTACACGTTATAGCTGGTGTTTTGTTTTTTTTTTAGTCTTAGTATTTTTGGAACAGTTTTAAGTTCTCAGCAAAACAGAAAGAAGGTACAGAAATATCCCATATAGCCTCTGCCCCACCCTGCCATGCACAGACTCTCCCATGATCAACATTCCCTGCCAGCATGGTACACTTGCTACAACTGGTCTACCTACTACATTGACACATCATAATCACCCAGAGTCCATGGTTTATATCAGGGTTCACTCTCGGTATTGTACATTCTATGGGTTTGGACAAATGTGTAATGACATGTATCCATTATTATAGTGTCATACAGAGTAGTTTCATTGCCCTAAAAATCTTCTGTGCACCTATTTTTCTCTCTCCCTCTTAACCTCTGACAATCACTGATCTTTTTATTGTCTCCATAGTTTTTCCTTTTCCAGGTTATATCATATAGTTGGAATCATAAAGTATATAGCCCTATCTGCTTTTTTTTCACTTAGTAATATACATTTATATTTTCTCTATGTATTTTCTTGGCTGGTAGCTCTTTCTTTTTTTTCTTAATTTTGGCGTATTATGGGGGTACAGATTTTAAGGTTTCAATAAATGCCCTTTCCCCCTCCCTCCACAAGTCTGAGTCTCCAGCATGACCATCCCCCAGATGGTGCACATCTCACTCATTATGTATGTATATATCCGCCCCCCTCCCCGCTCCCCCCTGCCCAATACCCTATTACTGTAGTACCTATGTGTCCACTTAGGTGCTGCTCAGTTAATACCAGTTGGCTGGTGAGTATATGTGGTGCTTGTTTTTCCATTCTTGGGATACTTCACTTAGTAGTATGGGTTCCAGCTCTAACCAGGAAAATATAAGATGTGCTATGTCACCGTTGTTTCTTAGAGCTGAATAGTACTCCATGGTATACATATACCACATTTTATTAATCCGTTCTTGGATTGATGGGCACTTGGGCTGTTTCCACAGCCTTGCAATTATGAATTGTGCTGCTATAAACATTCGAGTGCAGGTGTCTTTTTTGTAGAGTGTCATTGGATCATTTGGGTAGATGCCCAGCAATGGGATTGCTGGATCAAATGGTAGATTCACTTGTATCGCTTTAAGGTATCTCCATATTGCTTTCCAAAGAGGTTGAACTAGTTTGCAGTCCCACCAGCAGTGTAGGAGTGTTCCTCTCTCTCCGCAACCATGCCAGCATTTGTTGTTTGGGGACTTTTTGATAAAGGCCATTCTCACTGGGGTTAAGTGATATCTCATTGTGGTTTTGATTTGCATTTCCCTGATGATTAGAGATGTTGAGCATTTTTTCATACCTTTCTTTTGTGATGAATAATATTCCATTGTCTGGATGTACCGCAGTTTATTTATCCATTCTCCTGCTGAAGAACATTTGGTTGCTTCTATAGTTTGACAATTATAAATAAATGGCTATAAACATCCATATACATGTTTTTTCATGGACACATGCTTTCAATTCCTTTCAGTTAATACCAAGGAGCACAATAGCTAGGTCATATAATAGGAGCACATTTAGTAAGAAACTGCCAAACTGTCTTCCAAAGTGGCTGTACCATTTTTTACTCCCACTAGCAACAAATGAGACTTCCTGTTGCTTCACATTCTTTCCAGGATTTGGTGTTGTCAGTGTTCTGGATTTTGGCCACTCTAACAGATGTGCAGTGGTATCTCATTGTTGTGTTAATTTGCATTTCCCTGATAAACCCTGTGATCTTCTTTGGTAAGGTGTCTGTTAAGGTCTTTGGCCCATTTCCAAATCTGGTTGTTTGTTTTCTTATTGTTGAGTTTTAAGAGTTCTTTGTATATTTAGGGTAACAATCCTTTATCAGATTTGTCTTTTGCAATTATTTTCTCCCAGTCTTTGATTTGTCTTTTCATGCTCTTGATGGTGTCTTTCATAGGGCAGAAATTTGAAAAATTAATGAAGTCCAACTTGCCAATTCTTTTTTTTTATTATTATCAATTACTATTATTACATCAGTGTAAGAAGATACTGAGTGTTGCCTAGTTAAAATGAAGCAGTAAACTTTATCTTTTTGTATCCCACACTGATATTGTGGGAGTCTCATTTATGACATATTCTGTGGTTTTGGATTACTTTTATTCACCTATTCTTTTAAAAAAATTCATTGAGCACCTAACTACAGGTCCAACCTGTGGAGGAACCACACTGAAGGAGATGGGCAGGCTCCTGTGCCCACGGACACTTCCAGTCTGCCAGGGAATGAGGATACCAAAGCTATTATTCCAAGAGGGATACATTTTGTGAAATTCTATGAAGAGCACAACAGAGGGGACTAACCTGATCCAGAGGGTCTTGGAAGACCTCCTGGAACCTCCCAAAATCACCATAAAATTCCCATGACAATAAATGGCCAGTGGATATTGTTATTAGTTGAAAAGCTCAATCTTTAAAGCTTAGAGTCTTCTTTGAAAAAAACTGGCCAAAATGGAAAACAATAACAAGTCCAACAGCTTGTTCACTCTGGCTGTGAAGTTTAGACGAAGACAGTGAAGGAATCTGTTAGTGGTCAGCTACCACTGTCACACTTGCCCACCCCACAGCCCCCACCATGGCCCTGCCAATTTGCCACCTAGGAGGTAGCAGAGATAGGACAAGTATAGGGCTGGCCATATATTGGCTATATACAATATATTGGCCATATACAATATACTGTATATACTGTATATACAATATATTGTTTATGGCCAATACACTATATTGGCTATGTACAATGAGCATCAGAAGAACCAGGAATTCCCATCCTGGGCAGCTGTCAGAGTACAGAGACTTTTGTGGGTAGCTGGGTGCACTCTGACAGGCGTCCTCAGGACCCCACTTCCACTTAACTCCAGTCCAAGCTCTCATTACAGTCCCTCGGCCTCTCCCTTGGTTACCTCGGGCACTCACCAGCAGTGACCAGAGTGGACGTATCAGAACAGCCGCAGGCACAGAAGAGGTAGTTGCTGTTGTGCTGTCACCCAGGAATGACTGCAGAACAGATTTCTGCTCTTAGACCCCGGGAACGCCACCTCTATTGCTGCTTTGTGGAGCGCCCAGCCCCCTGGCGAGCTTTGCATCCACCTTGGATACTTTACTGCCACTGACTAACTTGCCATGACACCTGGGACTGAAACCCAAGCTGAACATTTTTTGAGGTTACAAAACATTCCACTACCTTTTCCTGCTATATAACGTTTCAAAATGTCAGCACTTTTCTAGCTAGATTTTGGCCTAGAAACTGAAGTTCACACATGCTAAGGGAATGGCTGTTGGTTTAATAATTTCAGTCCTATTGGAAATACCAAAGGTACCGGTATCTGGGCCTAGCCCAAATCATAATAATACATTGGGCTTGTTTTTGACATTTCATGTGAGACTCTCCAAAAATCCATGGAAAATAAGAAATCACTAAACCTCTTCATGCCCTTAGGAAGGAAACGGAAGTTTTGAATTCTTCTCTCCTGGTTATAAATATTAACGTATATTCAGGAAGAGAAAATAAATTGTTGCTTCATCAAGGCTCCCTGGTTAGGGAGGCCGGTTGAAATGCAGCTGGGGGGCAGATCGTGGTAACAGCCTTGGTCTAAGAGCAAGGCTGAGAAGGGTTTTAAGCAGTTTGGCTGGGAATCAGTTATCCAAATTTCCGTTTTAAGTGAGCACTGTGTTTTGTGGAAAATGAGCTGAAGACAGAGCTGAATGCAGGAAAACCAGGAGGGAGGCGAGTGCAGCAGCGTGGCTGAGAGGTACTGGTGGCCTGGGCTGTGGATATGGACAGAAGGGGAATGGATTCCAGAGGACAACCCCACAGGGCGTAATGAGGGATTGTCTTAGTGGAAAAGGAAGAAGAGGGTGTGAAGATGTCACTTAATGGCTGGGAGAAGATGTGGCACTGGGAGTGCACCGGACAGGTGGGGGAGGCAGCCAAGAGGCAATGTGCCCCGGACATCCAAGGGTGGAGATGCAATATTTCCCCAGGAGCTCATAATATGGTTAAGCAAGTGACTGCTTCCCGCACACTCTGTGGATGGGGTCTGCCCACTGTGCCCTAATATTAAATCAACTAAATATAGTAAAAAGTTACCTTTTTAAGAGTCCTCAAAAGCTGCCAGCCACTGTACAACTTTGTTATTTAATTCAATATTCTAAAAGACAAACCACTTCTGTTAGGCAGCTTTGATTATTGATCTTTCTTTCAGAGGGGAAACTGAGG